TTTCGCCCCCCCCCCTTTTTGGACATCTCTGGATCCGCCCCTGTATTCAATGGATTAATTTTTATCTTTCAGTGAGGTGCCTTTTGGGATTGTATGTACTGTTTATGGGGACTTCCCAACCATTTATATACTTTGCTGCTGAAGTTGTCTATTAGAGTTGCATTCAATATTTTTATGAAAGAAAGTATAATTATTAATATATATGGATGTAAATATAAAAACATGTTCATATTACCTAATAACGGATATTTCACCTCTGCGATACCTGAGTCTTCGTCTCTGAAGAAAAAATGATTAAATTATTATTGTGTAAAACTATTTTTAACTTTAAAACACATAAAAATCAGCATTAGCTCCTACCACTACCACCATTTTAGTTCGTAGTTATAATTATGTGACGTCATTTTCGGTACGTCATCGAAGTAGAGACAAACTTACTTAGCAACATCGTGATATTCATATATTTTCCCAGGGTCCTTCATTCCCTTCAAGTTGACTTCCGGAAGAGCTTCAAAGTGATTGATCTCTATCTTGGACCGCGTGCACGTGGCCTGGTCACAAGACAATTTGCTAGGATAGTTCATCATCAGACGAGCGGCCATGTTTACTCTTGGACCAATCACTAACAAGAAAAGTATGGCAATAGGCCAACGTGTAATTTGCAATATGAATATTCATAAGCAGAACGTTTCATTTAATAGCCAGGAATACACGCAACAACATCTAAGGGGCGAAGCTTATCGAAATGTCCCCTTGCCAGCATGGTTTATGTTATATGATTTTAATCAGGGCTATATTTAAACGATTTCCATTGTATTTGCATCACGTTCATCATCATCCATGACCGTCATCATCATCATCATCTGCATCTTCATCATCATCATCATCATCATCATCATCGTCATCATCATCATTATCATCTTCTCTCATCATCATAATTACATCATATTCTTTATTATGACCATCATATCCTCAACGTGTTTTTCTTGAGCATTATCACATCATATTTGTGTCATAGTATTATCATCACTATCGTTATCATAATCGTCGTCGTCATCATCATCATCTTCGTCGTCGTCCCATCATGTTCATCATCATTCGTCATTGTTATCATTATCAGAATTATCAAAATCATCACCGCATTATCATCATTATTTTAAAACTCACCAGTATATTCGTGTCTTGATGGGTGTCCTACCACCCCGCAGAACACCTTTCCCGTGGTAACTCCGATAGACACTCGTCTAGAAGCAAACATACGTCGATATAAAAAACATGTTATAAGCCGGGCAATCACTGATCGTACGACGAATCCAACTCCGCTCACTTTGAGCTAGACGACGCAACGCCGTCTGCTGATTGTGGGTGGCAATCTGAACACATCGTCATTAAAGACGATCCTTTGCACGCGTCGTGGCGTCGCGTTCTCCACAGAATCGCGTTGGCCGACGACCGTCGGGCGCAGTAAATACCCGATTTTACGCACACAATCCTTTACCTACCTCCAAGTACATAACAAATTGTGAATTAAAGAAGGGGGACCGATATTTTAAGCAGTTAGTCTTACTTTTCTTCTTATGATTATACTTTCCTTAAACTATTAACACACACATAAATTATTTATGATGAAATCGTGTCCGTGCGCAGTACGATTCGATTATTATATACTAATAAAATAATTTTGGAAAATATTTTAATACAAAACATGTTATCTAACTCCTAAACTTGTGTATTATGGGATATGCGCGTATTATTGGCCTTAATAAAAACACATTGTGATTGGTCAGTTTGATTTACTCTCCTCAAAAGGTGTATTACTCACCGAACTGCTTCCATCATATTCAGTGACTGTTGGATTTTACTGGAGCATTGGAGGGCGTGACCGATCTCATTCTCGTGTTTAAATCCCGGCAAACCGAAGATTACTAGAAAACTTGTGCCTTTGTCGAATTCAAATATCTTGTTTATCATACCTTACATAAAGAAAATGATATATTTAAAAATATAATGATGGAATAATTTACGATAATATGTTCGTGCTTAGACAAATACTGCTTTTCAGCTATGGCATTTTTCAAGATTGTAAGAGGTTGACTTCAAATCAATCTTATAAATGTTATGAAAACCAATTTAGGATTAGAACATCTCGCTCTTGAAAAGTATGATGGCTTGGCATGCCTAATATAAAAACAGATGGTTTACTTTAATTTTAATAGATATTATGCTACATTAGACTAACGACAAATATAACATTCACCTTGGAACTGTACGACTGACGCTCCGATGGTAGTATATAGCTCCTGGAGGCAACCGGCGTGATCAGTCGTGTCTAGAACCAGGTTAATGAAGACGATAGTGACCTCTCGCATCTCACAGAGGTAATCTAAGGGTTGGTCATCCTCAATCTTATGAGAAATAGAATCCAATTTAAATTAATCCGGTAACAATATCTATTTATGAAAATGAGTTCAATAATAATAATAATAATAATAATAATAATAATAATAATAATAATAATAATAATGATACGACACTCAGTATGATGATCAAATGAACGGTTTTTAATTTAATTTAAATTATTGCTGAGTTCAACCTACACTTACCTTCTGTAAAACTGGTGGTGCGATAAATGGTCGTAATTTATTCTTATAAGCTGTGAATAAAACCAGGTTTTACGAAAAATACATCTAAATTATGATTTTAACCGATCTTTCATTTCTAAATAAGAAATACTGTCATTTTCTTTGTCTTTATTCATTGTCATCATCAACATCATTATCATCATCATCTTCGTCATAATTATAACCATCATCACCATTATCATCATCGTCATCACCACCACCACCACCACCATCATCATCATCATCATGAACTCGTCTTTATAGGCATACTTACATGATCTTCGAAATATTCTCGGAGAATCTCGAGTACTTAATTTCTGCAATGAGTGTTTAAATTGAGATAGTTAAATTGAGATAGTAAATAGAGAGATTTACTGATAGTTATTATACATGATGGTGCTGTATTAACTATTTCTGTATCTACTGTATATCCTATAGCTAAGATTTAAAACAATTTTTTCTGTTTGTACAATTTTCAAAATGTTATTAATCAGGATATAAAATCTAGCTATCGTCGGACGAAATCGAATGTAACACTACTACTTAAAAAAAAACGAAAGGAACTTTACCCTTTTTGATTTTGGACTACCCGTAGCTTCTGGTTCCACTTAAAAACAAAAACAACGAGAGATAATTATTATAATGGTCTATAAATTATGAAAATACAGGTATGCGTAAACCCTAAATAAATCCACGGACGGCGCGACAATGCATACGCAATAGATCGTATTTTAACGACAAGTCGCGTAGTCACGCGCTCAAAAAGAGGGTAGATGGCTTTGTCGAAAGACGCATGTATGTCCAGTTTTGAGAATAACAGACTTGTTTTAATATGATGGACGAGTTGAGTGGTTGAGCAGTAAAGTAGTAAAAGAGGACTTACAACCAAAGGTCCAGTACACATATCAGACTAGTGTTCACTAAAAGACCTATTGCATTTTTCGGAATAATTAATTATTTCAGTTTGTAGAATAATGTTACCATGTTTTTCTAATGTTTTTACGCATATAAAAATGTTCACTACAACCTATTCTTTTCTTACAGTTTGCCTGTAATGGAGAAAATTTTCCCAAAAATATTTGTGGTATATGTTTCTATGAGTACCTACCTTCCTCTGAAAACTTGGTTAACCATGATTTCTTTACAAGCTTCACCCTAGCAACGCTGTCCTCCAGTAACTCGAAGCGGATTCCTTCTTTCCACGGACAGATTTTGAACGCAGACTTCGCAAGGATCGTGGAACCTTTCTGACAATGTCTCTCTGCTTTGTTGACTTCTGAAACTCCTGCACCACCGGTTATAAAATGTTGCGTCCTGTTATCCCCTACGTATGTTATAGTAACTGGTCCAAATGATATCGCTGCAACATAAAATAATAAATTAGAGATGAGAATATATGTTTTACTTTTTCTTGTCTGAAGAAAATGAAAAATATGATAATGTTATACTTTGTGAATGTTGAAGTGTTTTTAAAGGCCTATTATTTTTTTTTTGCATTTGAATAGGCCTATTATTATATAGTTGGTCAAGAAAGGAGCGCTCACTTCGCGGCACTGTTTTTACCAATCCTTTTAACAATCTACACGATTCGTACTGCCGAGTTTTTACAACTAATCGACATGGCTCGTGAATAGACACAATAAGAAGAAAAAGAAGCTGTTTTGTGTGGGGTTTTTTTGTGTGCGCACGTTTTGTTATAGGATATTATCGGAAGCCAACTAAAAAAACCGCTAATGCTTAGAGATTTGGATCTGAAGAGAATTTACAAGCATCAAATAGACGGATGGTACAATTGCAAAAAGAGTTCTGAAAATGGTTAAAACTTTGTCTACACTATTATTTTTATGTGACATCATCATGCTAAAAACTTGGGCATATCACACAAACTGTCATATAATATTTGATTGTTTGGACAAAGCCTAATACCACAAACAAAGGAAGAAGATGAATCAAGACTCGATAGTCTAAAAGACATGGCAGAGAGTAGAATAAAACAAAAGAGCGTAATGGTGATGGTAAGACATCCAGAATCAAAGAATCCATGTTTGTTACTAGATGAGAACTGATGAAAAGGCCCAGTGGTACAGCGGGAAAATATTTAAACGAAGCTCGCAGGAACGCGCACGCACAATGAGCTATCTGAGTGTCTCAATGTTGGATTATGATACTCCTTGTCATGTCAGCTTTTTATCACGAGATCGCCGTACGCAACTTAACAACTTGTTTTTGATTAACATGCAAACAATGGGCAGTCTGTCAAATTTCTTCCTGATGCTTATGACTCGACTGGATTTTAATTCCATTTATGGTATGTCTCACGTTTAGTTTATTTCTCCAAGGAATACCGATTATACTCACCCACTTTAACACCTAACATCACACCGACTTCCGTTTTCCAGTCATGGCATCTACGATGGATCTCATGCGCGCACTGAACCACCTTGGCAACGATGTAATTTTGATTTTCTTTTGTGGCCTGCCACAAAACTAGTAATGCATCGCCTTAGAATAAGGAAATGAGAAAAAAAAAAGAATATTTGTCATACGATAACCGATTATATATTATTAGTGGTCTGCAATAGGCCTACAAAATGTATTTTCCAGTAGGTCTACACAACTTTTTCATATTTTCGTTAATCTGCCGGAGCCTCTTTTAATTTATTTACATTTAAATTTAAATTCCGGTTCAAGCGCTTATTTTATTTGAAATTAAATCCATTACACTTATAAGCAAAAGTGCTTTGTCCGTACAAGAAAATAAAGTTCGTTTGCTCACTGACATTTTTTACACTTTTTAACAGTATTTTCGTGTTATTTTCACCTTAATTGCACCCGCTATACGTAAATCACATAAATACGAGTGAGTGCTACTTTGCGCGTTATAACCTTTAACCGTTTAAATTAGACCTCACCTGCAAACTCCACGACATCTCCGCCTGCTTCCAGTACGACATCTTCGATTCGTCCAAGGTAGTTGTTCAACGTTTTCATTAAGGTATCTACACCAAGCTTTCTTCTCTGGTACTCCTCACAACAAGCTGTGAATCCTGTAGCCAAACAATATACAATATAAGCATGGCACGCATTTTTCAATTTTAGAAGATGGCATAATACAAATTGGCTTATTTCGACATCGCAGGGCCGTCGGAACCGCACCGGCCGCACCGGCTTTAGAAGGACCACTTTTTCTCAAAACTATAACTACAGGTTTCCCTCCATATACCAATTAAAGATCCCTTTTGTGACTAGGGTTTTAGTGGTTTTAGCAGCTTTGGTCTCTATTTAGTGTGAAATTTAGAAATTATTATAGTAAATGTAAGATTGTTAGAATGGATGTAGGGCATACAGTTACTTTATGCTGTTCCCGGTGGTAGTCAAGTCACACATCAAGTCCTGTGCTCGTTCTACCCAACCATTACAATAAAATTGTAAACCATTACAATAAAATTGTAAACCATTACAATAAAATTATATAAAAAAAACCGTCCTAATTCAATATAGAGCACTGATACACAAAACATCATCTTATGTTTTGTATCTTCTTGATGTCTATAGTCAAGGAACCTATATCTATCATTGTCATCATCATAATCATCATCATATATATATATATTTTTAAATACATTAAAATCGCTATATCAATCAATCAATCAATCAATCAATGGGTTAATAAGGCGCATAATATAACAGTCTCTATGACTTGTGATCTGATGGGCACATGTGGTCTTTATACTGTATTTCTCTATTTAGAGGGAAATTAAAAGATAATACATTAAATGTTTTAAAGTGGTTGTACAGTAACTTTATGCTCTTATTTATTCTTAATTAACCATTTCTTGGTAGTCAAACATCAACTTGTCTTTCCATTAATATATTATACCGTAACTAACGTTGCCACTAACATTATAATCAGTTCAATACACGCTGTACACAAAACAGTGCATGGGCTAATATTTCTACGTGCAAGTCGTATGTAACACAATTTATTGTAGAAAAAAACTTACATTAAGATCACTATTTATTTTATAGTGGTCTTTACTTGGAGGGGAAATTTTTCAGATGGGTCAACCAAAACCATGGTCTCTAAATAGAAGAAATATTTAATTGGAGGGAACAGCTAATGATAAAAGATTCAACGGTGGCCGCAGAAATGTGGTCTTTAATTGGAGGGAGAACTGTACATATTTTAATGAATATACTAATACCTATATCATGTGGATTTATTATTAATGCTCGTATCGCATTGTCTTTTTAATGTTGTATAGGCCTATACATAGTTTTTAATCCACCATGTTCTTATTTTTGTATGTACATTTATACAACTTTATTGACAATCCTTAATTTAATATTTAAGATTGATTTTGAAAATGTTTAGAGGTATAAATATAAAATATCAAATAACCTTTATAGAATTTTGGCAAAGGTATAATGGCCAAGCCGGCCCTGATTAGGCCTACTTGCAATTAAAATTTAAACCCTTAAATTAAATTGAAGACATTTAAAAAAAAATTATGCATGCCCTATTTACCCGGCTGAGGGGCCATTTTTTCAATCAGTGTGAAAAAAATGTGTAGTACCCCACCAGCCACCAGCCACCCACATCTCACTCTTATTAAAATGGCCGGACCACTTGCAAAATGCTTCCGAAGGCTATACATCCTTATTTGTGCGTACAAGAATTCTGTATAATAAAATCGTCTATGCCAACAGCAGACGATCTTGCCTAGGTTCGATGGTGGCACGGAGACGGGATTTATGGCAAGTTAATTTGACACCGTTCTATTAAGCCCTCTCCTTGTAAGCTAAACTTATTGTCTGTGAGAGTGAGACACAAGCGTATTGTTATCCGAATTCTGATTGGTTTGTTTTTAAGTTTGATTGTGCACCAGCATGCACAAAAACTTCATCGGCGTGGAAGACGATGCGAGTTTATGATGATCTTCAAGTTCAAGTTCAAGTTCAATTTATTGTCATATACAAAGTAAATGAAATTTGTTTTCCAAGGTTCACAATAAAAACAATGACATACTAAAATACAATACAAACTTCAGACTTCAATCGACGGTCAACGATCTGAGTCAGGCAGAGTGTTGACGAATTCCTCAGTCGACGGTGCGATTAACACTGCTTCAAAATTACATGGAATGATCACCTTACCTGAAACATCGAGGAACATCAGGCATCCTTGCAGCTCATCAACATAAGGAATCTGTTTCCGTCGAAATGCTGCGTCAATGACTAGATCCGGTAGTTGAGCAGATAGTTCTCCAGCAATACCACCTGTACAAAACACATCATGATGTCAGTAAAGACTGATTTCCAATAGGCGGGAGAGCGCTTTGGGCAGCGGCAAAATAATACAATAAACCTAAGGCTCATGATCATAAAAAAAAAAGAAAAAAAAAGCGCGACACGATTCTACAATTGAATATAATGTTCTATTCCGGGTTTTATTTTAATTTTTTTCTTTCTTTTCTTTTTTTCTTAACTATCCACTACCGCTTTATTGCTCAGTAGTGTTTCCCGGTATAACTAATTCTTTTTATTCTGTCAAGAAAATTAATCATTAATTTTGTCGAAAAAATTGAAGATTATTTACAAAATAATTTCTGTCTTTTCAGAACTTTCTGAGCCGATTATTAGTCAGCTAGCAATACGTGTAGTATTACATTTCAGTGTTCATGTCAAAACGTTTTTGTCGAAGCACACATTTACGTATTTGTGCAATGTAATTGCCAACTAATGACGTTGCAGAAACATTGTTTTGTATGCCCATCCGTAGTCATGATGTGCCTACATAATAATGACAATGGGCATAGTGTTGCACTGTTGTCATGCCCATATTTAGGCATGCCATATGTTTTGTCAAATGACATTTGATAGTCTAGCCAGGACTTTTTCCGGAAAAAATATAAATAGACCAGTGTTATTCGACCCAGCCTGGTATGAGGATGTTCGTATGTGTTGAGTAGACTAAAGTTCAAAGACCACATTTCTTTTTAAGTCTCATCCATGGCCTAATCACAATGATTGAATTACTGATTAACGTGTATGAGAAATGTTTGCTTAATTTTTAAAATCTTAAATTTCTTGCAGAGTAATTTTCATCTTTTTACTTTGAATGAGAATAATTAAAATAAGAGAGAGCTTAAAAAATGTAATAATCAGGCCTATACTAATCTAACCATTCGAATTCACTCATGAGATGTGTCCATGGTACAACGAATGTCCAAGAAAGAATTCCGTTAGTCCTCAGAAGCACCATTTACACTCAAGATCTTTACTCTCTGGTGATATTAAACTGTTAATCGTTAAAATTTATACCGACTTGATAAGTATAATAAATGAGTTCAATTTTTTGAGTGTTTACTTATGATTATTGTATCTTAAATCCGGTAATCCTTCAAAGTTTCTGTAGTTTAAATCAATGAGACTAAAAGTCTAACCTTGACAGGTATCTCTAACAAAGGTATACTATCTGCTCACCATGGATTGGATTAACCGTATTCACGTTAGAGGATTCATTTTTCAGTAGCCTCTAATCTAATACGTCAGCCTGCACAAGCATAGAATACAAATCCAAATATTTTTGAATATACATTTTTTTAAGCCAGAACCTCAAAAATTACTTCAATTTATTCAATAATTGAATTCTGAAAGGTCATATGGCCGATTTATAATGAATTGTAGCCTAGCCTGGCCCTAAGCATAGGCTGGTCTTTGTCTAAAAAATCAAATTGCTGTTTTATGAACTTTTGGCCTAAAGGATAAGTCAGTCACACAATTTCAATAATAGACAAATTTCATCTTTTTCCAGTATGAATGGTTGTAAGATGAAGCGTATACAATTCGTAAATACGATCCTTTTTTTCTTTACCGATCAAATTACCGTGTGACGTTAACTTATTATTATTATTATTGTATTGCCGCAGTGGGCCTAGTGTATCTAAACCAAAACTCACAATGATAAATAACAAGTTTTAACATTCAGGCACCGAACCTAAATAAAGCATTGTTACAGCGCAGTCTTCTTAATCTAAATAGTTTCCAATTGACTTACAGCTTACTTAATGCGGGCTTCCTAATAATTGCCCTGCCTAGGCTAGCCTAGATTAAAAAAGAAAATCGGTGTGCATTTCCGACACTTACTAAACACGAGTGTGTGTGATCTGACGTAGGCCATGTATACCTATATTCCATACACAAACCTTTTAATTGTCTCGGCATTTCCTGATATGAACTCGGAATAATATAAGTTTTTAGTGTGATATACGTCTAGTATATTAGTATCTATATAGGCCTACCACCAGTCAATAAGGTCCGTACTACCACAAGTCTTAAAACCTTAAAAATGAATTTTGTTTTAAGAATTTGTTTACTTGGAAGCGCATCCGAAGAATTTTCACGCGTTTCTAACGCGCACTCGGGCATATCCTCCGTAGCGTTGGCAATCGCCGAACCGCGTATCCATTCCATTCGGTGGTATCACGGAGAAACACGACGTGCGTACTGCAACTACCGCCTGCTGTAGCAAAGTGTATTAAGCAGGGCGACTCTTGAAAATAAGGTCGCCCTTTCACCACTTGAGCGATTACCATTGACTAAAATCCGTTGTTTTTTTGTATTGAAACAAATTATGACACCAGGTCAATATAAATAGGTCTGATAACAATATAGCAACTGAACAATTGCACAGTATTCATTTTCTTTTTATTTATTTTGAAACTTCAATCATTATGAAATAAATAGCCATTGACGTATTCTAAAAAAAACACACACAGCAAAGATAATAGTTGGACCTCGTTGGCAATTACAAAATCTTCTAAATGGCTCTCCACCAGTCCCCATCCAAAAGAATAGATGTGTATAAGAGACAGGGGCATAGTGTTGCACTGTTGTCATGCCCATATTTAGGCATGCCATATGAATAAAAAATACTAATATTAATAATTAAGTAAAAATAATGCACTAATGAAAACAATATACATAGGTTTAATTCGGATGATATTTAATTAGGCCTATGTTTTCGAACCTGAGATTTTGCCTATACGTCCGACTAAGCCAGTTTTGGCAAATAGGTAAATACCAATAATACAGTACTTACTGATAACAGACATGGTCTTGTCATTAATTGTTGTCATCGTGATGAAGTAGGCCCATACAAGTGACTAAGTGGTTAATATACACATTGAAAGAAGAAGTAAGCCAGGAAACAATCTGTATGACCACAACCGATACCACGTTATTATTTGATTATCTTCACACACCTAATTTGTCAGCATGACATAATTCTATTTCCTGCTGGAATATCCACCGTATCCCCTTTAACCTGAGTCCTGTTTCAATAATGTATGCTTCTTATTTATGCCATTTACACATTGTCTTATCGCTTTTTTTTACCATTGTTGTAACAAAAACAAACTAAGTAATAATTTATTATTATTTATGTAAAGATCGCTCGCCGGTAACTTATATGCTAATTGTGTAAACTTACTGCTGTAGAGAGCACCAAATCATAAATATATTTAATGATGATGCGTGCCGTTTTCATTTTAAATTTAGAAGATGAAATTATACATTTACAAAACTACAGCCATCAACGATACTATGCTGTCTTGTGTTGAAGATTTGGTGCTCTCACCGCCGCGGCCCAGGTTCGATTCCTGTTGTTAGAAACAAATGTTTTTTATTTAGTGTGTGGGTTTTTTCCTATTAGGCCTATTCAGCAGCAAAATTGTTAGCTTAGAGGGAAAGGGTATCGTATGCGGATTTTTGACACAAACTGTGAATTATACTCTCTAAGTTTTCTCGAAAACATAATTTTTAGCGTTTTTAAAAAAGTTTTGATTTTCCCAGATTCGGACACATAGGTCTGATTGTGAGTATGATCCGATTTAACATTATTAAGTGTAGATTTTAAATGGCGTTTGGCACATAGATCATGAAAATACCGATTATGTTTTATTTAACGTGTTCAACATCTTAGCGTTTGAAAGTTTTTATTTTCCCAGATTGAGGATATATGGACCTTATGGAGTATCATTTTATATTAACATGATTTAAGCTTAGATTTCAAGTAGAGTTTGTGAACTTTCACAGTATTGCTGTGACCTGTAGGTCCCAATAGAACACAAAAGAAACGAAAATGGCGGGGTCAAAAAATCATGCCACAAAATCGTGAGCTATACCCTTTACATTTTTGCGAAAATTGTCCAATTTTCACATAGTCGTTTTCCTGTTGACTGTTACATTATGGCACCTATGAGATCATGAAAATACAGATTATGTTTGATTTAAGGGGTCGTTCAACATTATCAATATGTTCACAAGTGTACAAGCAGTACGCTAGGGGGAGGGGGTAGACACATTTGTACACTTTTACATAGGCCTATGCATAAAAATGTTGATTAAAAATAACATGCAATATGTAAAATAATGGCAAAATTATAATGTAGCCATGGATATATTCATTTTTAAGCAACCAAGTATATTGCTTTAGTTGACTTCGCAAAAAAAAAGGAGAATGATTTTGCAAAATCATAATTTTTTTTATTACACGTTCAGAGGGGAAGGAGGGGGTATCGAAAAAGAGTACTGTTTGTACACTTTTGTGAAAATGTTGATAATTGTGAACAACCCCCAACCTTGTTAAACATTATTTTCTTAGCGTTGAAAAGTTTCAATTTACTCAGACTCGCATTTATTGAGTATCCTCTGATTTAACATGATTTAGGCTTAAAACTAGGTTTCAAGTGGCGCTTGTTAACCTGTGCAGTATTGTTGTGGTCCGTATGTCTCATTAGAACACAAAACAACCGGAAATGGTGATGTCAAAAAATCGTCCCAAATAAAACTGTGAGTTATACCCTTTACCATTTTGAGAAAATTGATCAATTTTTTACCTAGTCGTTTTCTTGCTGATTCTTACATTATGACACCTACAGATTATAAAAATACCGATTAGCCTATGTTTCATTTAACCTTGTTCAAAATAATTTTCTTAACTTTTAAATGTTTCAATTTTCCCAGATTTGAACAGAAGTATTGTCTGATTTAAGATGATTTAATCTTAAAAGTAGTTTTCAAGTGGCGTTTGTTAACCTGTAGGAGTATTGCTGTGATCCGTAGATCCAAAGAGAACCCAACAACCGGAAATGGCGGGATCAAAAATCGTCCCCAATAAAACCGTGATCTAATACCCTTTACGATTTGCGAAAATTGGCCAATTTTTCACCTGACCGTTTTTTCCGATTCTTACATTATGGTACACAGGGATTATCAAACTACCAATTACCTTGTTTCAAACTCATTTTTTAGCTTTTAATTTTAATTTAAACTTTAATAGTTTTATTTTTACAAATTCGGACACATAGGCCTAATTGAGGATGATAAAATTTAACATTATCTAAGCTTGAAACTAAGTTTCAAGTGACGTTGATTGCTGTGATATGTAGGCCTACGTCCCAACAGAATACATACAAACCGAAAAAGGCGGGGTCAAAAAATCATCCCAAAAAATTCGTAAGCTATACCCTTTACGTTTTTGCAGAAACTGGCCAATTTTTCACCAAGTCGTTTTCCCGCTGATTCTTACATTATGGTACGAAGGATCATGAAGATACAGATTATGTTCAGTTTAACTTTGTGCAAAATCATTTTGCTTATCGTTTAAAAGTTTTAATTTTCCCAATTCGGACACATAGTCCTAGTTCTAATTGTATATCATCCCATTTAACATTATTCAAGTTCAAAACTAGATTTCAAGTGGGTTTGTCAACCTGCAGAGTATTGTTGGGATTCTTGGGTCTCAATAGGACAAACAAACTAAAAATAGCAGACTAAAAAAATCGTCCCCAAAAAATTATACATTTTTTAGAAAACTGGCAATTTTTTCACCCAGTCGTTTTCCTGCTGATTTTTAGATTATGGCACATGGATCATATAAAATATTGTAAATATGTATATGGATAAGATTTATGTATACATTCACATGTATATTGCCCTAAATTTGTGTGTTTTAATAGTATATATACAAACATATAAATATAGATAAGGTGTACATTCGTATATATAGGCCTCTATGTGTATAAAGGGCTATATTATGAGCCTACGTGTACCTTACACTTTTACAATACAGTATAGTAAAAAAATTGTCCCAAATGCATGGATGCATCTTCTATGAAGAAGATACATCCATGTGTGTTTCAAAACATATAAGATACCATACCTTGTAACTGTAATAGATACTCACATAGCAACATTTTTACTTTATTATTTATTCAAAGAATATTTCGACTTTCATGTAGTCTCTGTCAACGCTTGATATAAAATGAAAATTGTGAGATAGTCGTTGAGAGATAATATACAATTTAAAAAGTCAAAAGTATGAAGGGTACAGGAACAGATATATATATATATATATAGATATATATATATATATATATATATATATATACATATACATACATATATACATATATATATATATATAAACATACATACATATATATATAATTTATATATATATAATGAGTAGGCCTACGAACGCACAAAGTAGAGTCGTATAGGTTGACATAATAGACATAAGATAATTTTTTATTTCGAATATTTCGAGCACGCCTGTGCTTTTCCTCAGCGATATCACGTATGATTAAAAAAGCTTTACAAACTAGCAATAGGGGATAAACAATATAGCAGTGACTTAGATAAATCGTAAATTATATGTATAATTAGGGCGGATTATAAACGGCGTTAACAACAACAAAAATAAAGATAAACGAAAGGGCTAATCAGCCGAATGTAGGGCTATGATCTCACTAGCATGAGCCAATGAAAATGAAATATAACAAGTTAAATAGTATATAAAGGATGAATAAATGAATAAAATGTACCTAGATAGATGAATGCATTGATTAATAAAAAGTGTAATCTGTGGGAAATCCTAAGTCTTTATTTACGCCATTTTTGTGAGTATTTAATTTAAGATCCATTTCAATTCGCAACAACGTCTGTCGGTGAGAGAATTAAAAACTGTACTAATACTAAAATGAACTTAAGGCTATAGAGATAGCTTGGTTGGCTTGGTTAAATTGCTTAGCTACAGGAAAGCCTAATGTATTGTCTCTAATAGATTTTTTATGATTATTGCATCTTATTCTAAATTTGCAACCAGTTTCCCCGACGTATATAGTATCCATACATTGGGTACGCCAAATAAGATATATGACATTTGAGGCGTTGCAAGTGAGCGATGATGGGTGTATGGTTAAATGGCGGATGTTGATGGTGTCGTCGGTATAAGAAGCTCAAAAGGGTGATTACCAAATTTAGGGGTGATTGATAGTGGGAAGTTTAGATGAAGTTAGTGAATTAAGATTAGAAGTTTGTCGGTATGCTATGAGAGGTGGTGATTTGAGTGCTTCTGTATTTGATGAAGTGCAGTCAGAAAGAATGCGAACATCTTGGGTGATAGTTTTGGCGAGAAATTGGATTCGGGGGTTGTAGTCGAGGACAAGGGGTATGCGAATAGAATTCGACTTGGCTTTATATTCAAGGAGTTGCTGGCGTGATTTAGACGAGGCCTTAATAATTAATGGTTTGATCAGTTTCATGGGGAAATTGCTGAGTCTTAATTTGTGGATGAGAGTGTATGTTTATCGAATTCGGTATTGGTGGAGCAAATTCGTTTTATTCTGAGCGCCTGACTATATATTATGGATTTTTTTAGTTTTATGGGATGAGCGCTATTGAAGTTGAGATATCTGTGGTTGTCTGTGGGCTTGGTGTAAACTGTTGTTGTGACTTCATTCTCTTTTAAACCCACTGATACATCTAAAAATGGGATTTCTGAGTAAGAGCTGTCTCTTATACACATCTAGATGTGTATAAGAGACAGCCTTAATGATATGTCATTCTTAAATGACCAAAATAATTTTATTTATTTTACCTAACAATTTTAAGAAAGGAGTGTTAAATTTATTAAAATTATAAATATTTTAATGTTACAAATACCTGGAATTTATGTTCTCGCTGTAATGTTTACAAACTTTTAAAAATATATAGTTACCAGTTTTTGTTTTTTTTGTTGCATAGTTAACTTTCATATGTTGCTCTGATGCAACCCTGTTACAACCAAAATCCT